AAGTTGTAAACACTGAGGTGGGAAATAAATTATTTTGTTTGATTTAGGAGTAATGGGATGAAATGGAGAAAAGACATTTAAAAGGTTTTATGACAGAAAAAAGGAGCAAGTTGTTTGACAACCTATGTGAAATGGATTTATTGTCATAAGCCATGATCTTGCAAAGTACCACCTGCCTGCTTTGTTTCCTTTACTTGTTTACTGGGGTGACTGTTGCATTGCACCTAGAAAACCAATTTTGACTCAAACACCAAAGAGATTAAGAAATAGCTGGAATATTCTTTCATGGGAAAACATGCTCCTAAAAGGGACATGTTTAGATGCCTGGCGATGGCTTCTCTACCATGTACATAAACTACAAGGTTGCGTCTAGACTGGCATGATTTTGCACAAAAACTTGCTGCCTGTCTACACTGGCCGCGAGTATTTGCGCAAGAATACTGACGTTCTAATGTATGAAATCAGTGCTTCTTGTGCAAATACTTTGACGCTCCCGCTCAGGGATAAGCCCTCTTGCACAAGTATTCTTGCGCAAGAGCGCCAGTGTAGACAGGCACCTTAATTTCTTGCGCAAGAAAGCCCGATGACTAAAATGGCCATCGGAGCTTTCTTGAGCAAAAGCGTGTCTATACTGGGCACGGACACTTTTGCGCAAAAGCAAATCTTTTGCGCAAAGGCACTTGCCAATCTAGACGCTCTTTTGCGCGAATACTTTTAACGGAAAAATGTTTCCGTTAAAAGTATTTGCTCAAAATCGTGCCAGTCTAGATGCAGCCCAAGAGAAAAAAGCTAGCAGACAAAATACACCTCCATAGTGGTTGCATTCTTTCAGAGCATTATCCCTTTATGATGTAGTGCTGGTCATAATATTAATAATATTTAGTAAATTCCAAACAGAAGCTAATTGTCTCCCTTTAATATAATTAATTAATCTTCCTAAGGGTAAATATTGTGACTAGTCTTATTTTACAGATTGTGAAATTGAGGGTATCACCATACTTAAAATGCTGCAGCTGCAATTCTGTAGCACATCAATGGAAGAATTATTTCATCAACCCAGCACTGTCCACATCAGGGAATAAGTTGGTATAACTACATCTCTCATCCATGTAAATATTTCACATCCTAGAAGTGATATAACTGTACCAATGTAAGTTCCTCATGCAGCTCAGCCCTGAAGCACAAAGAGTAAGCGGCTACATCAAGGGCACAGACAAAGCCAATATCAGAGATGGGAATTAAATTGAGGTATTTGTGGTTCTCAATCCTATGTGCAATGTTACTAGATCACACAAATAATTCTCTTTTTTGCTGTTTCATGAACAGTGCTTGGGTTACATCATCTGCTCGTGGAAAAGCTATTGTAGACATAGCCCATTTTTAAGTTAAAGTGAGTCTTTCCATTCATTTCAATAGGCTTAATGAGCAGACTTTCTGAATATAAAATTAATCAGAAAAATGTAAAAATGTGTATTAATGAAAATCCTTTGAAAATGAGTTATGTCTGAATGAGGCAAAATTTGCCTTTTGGAAGTAAATAAAATCAAATATTAGACCAGAGAAAATATAATTTTAAGCTAACATTTAACTAATTAGGTCAAGATGTTTTATATACATATACGCTTGAGAAGGATTGGTTGAAACGAAAACATGGACAGGAAATTGGACTGGAAATAATTTGTGCATAAAGAACATTTATTAACTTTTTAAATGTTTTGTTTTCTTTAATGAAATTGCTGAAAGTAGAAAGTCTATTGTCTAAAGGTGAGCACAGCACAATATTAGCCTCAAATGGATTCACTGATTAATACCTGTATTTATAGGCACCAGGCCAAAAGTTTCTTTCCATGTCTAGTTTAGGCACTTCTTATGCTACACGTTATTGGGGCATTTCTGATTATGATCATCAGCATGGAAATAGTTAACAATGTTGTCATTTAAGTGGTGATAATAGACTTCAAGGCTAGTCTCCTAGGGTATGTCTACACTAGCTTGTTAGTTCGAGCTAGGTAGGCAAATGAGGGCAACCGGAGTTGCAAATGAAGCCTGGGATTTAAATATCCCAGGCTTCATTTGCATGTTCCCGAGCGCCGCCATTTTTAAATCCCCCTTGGTCTGAACTAACTGCCCGCAGCTAGACATGGCAGTTAAACTTTAATTCGAACTAACTCCTTAGTTCAAATTAACTGTTACTCCTTATTCCACGAGCCATGTATCATTTTACATTGTGGAGGTCACCTTCATAGCTAGAAGGGCCAGATTGCTTTCTTCTTAAATAGACATATAGATTTTCCACTCCCATGGATTTATTGTGTGATAAATGAATGTGTAAATTACTAGGTACTATAAGAGTAACTGTCAGGTTGCTGCACCAGAAAAAATTTACCATTCTATAATTCATATTACAAAGCATGCAAAAATACATTCGCTTCAACAGGCTTAATTACCAGACTTTCTGAATACAAAATTAATCTGAAAAATTTGTATTAATCAAAATCCTTTGAAAATGAGTTATGTCGAGCTGAGGCAAACATTGCCTTTTGGAGGTAAGTAAAATCCAAGTTTTGCAGAACTATTGTGCTATGTACATAGAATTTTGGTGTCTTACAGTTTTGTATTGCTGACCATCAGTTCAGTATCTGAGCATCTTCTATGTAAAGCAAATAGCAATAATGCAGTTCCTGGTAAGCTTCAGGAACTCCCTTTTCTGGATGAAAACTCTGCTTGAGGTAGGGTTTTGTGGTCTTGATACTTTGGTGATTACTATTTACCAATGTATTTTGACCAGAAATGGGAGGTTGCAGACAGAGCAGTGGTTGAAGTTTAGGGTTCACTGATAGCTCCTTGAGGCCTTGACAAACTATTGCATTTTTCAGGGAGTCTGGTAGGTGTGCTCTGAAGGAGCCATTGACCATTTCCATTAGTACTGGTATCCAGGATGGATCTGTTTAACTGGTTGAGGTTAAAATATTTTTAGAGTTTCTTCACTTTGGGAATGTGTGATTGGGGCCAAACTCGGTCAGGAGAGGCAAGGTGAACAATGCAATCTGGTCGGGGAAGAATTTCCTTTTGCAATTAGCTCCATGTTTATTTGGTTGATCTTAACAGAAAGGTATACCAACAGCTCTTCACAGTGGTTGATGCTTGGGTCCAGTATGGGGCTAGGGAATCTGGGTTGATTAGCTAGTGCATCTTAAACAGCTCTGCTGGCCAAGATTCTGTACAATTAAATTCAGAGTAATCTCATTTTCCCTTTTATACTGTAGTGGCATCATTCTGTTAGCGTTGTCTCATACTGTCTGGAGGTATTCACCATTGTGAGCCACTCCTCAGGGGTTACCTCTGGTTCCACCCTGAAAAATACTTTGAATTGACAGATCACGACAACATCTTGGGATTTGGATGACAAATAAATTGTGTGCATGTGTTTGCTCACTTGCTTTAACCTGTAAATAACTTGCATTTTTTTTCCCTAGTTAACAAATCTTTAGGTAGTTTATTACAGAATTGGCTGTAGGCATTATCTTTGGTGTGAGATCTAGGTTACCAATTGATCTGGGGTTAGTAACAGGTCTCTTGGGAGTGAAAGCACCTTGTGTGTGGTTTGATTTATAATGTCAGTAACCATTTTTGTGTGCGTGTGCTGCTGTGGTTTTTAGGGCTTGCTCCTTCAAGGTGCAAAGTGTTCTGGATATATCCAATAAAGCACTTGAGCACATATTTAAAGCATATGAATTTAAGTCTATATTAGGCAAACACGTTGGGGTGGCTGACACATACTAGATATTGCCTCAATGCACATGGATGAACTAGGTGATCTCACAAGTTTATTTCCAGCACTACACGCCTATGATCCTGTGAGGTATCCCATTTAAACCAATAAGACAACTCATGTGCTTAACTTTGACCATATGCTTATGTGCATCTGTGGATCAAATCTGAATGTTCAGCACACTGGAGGATGAAGCCTGCAATGCATCTGCTCTGAATCCTGTCAAATGATTTTTAAAATTTCTATCTTTTTAAATTAAATATTTACAAATCTTCATCTTGTACTAAAGAAAAGAAGTTAGGTGCTACTATTTTTTATTATTCACATATAGTATTCGTTAGTTATATAGAGAGATTCTGCTCAATGCTTTTCAAAGAGCTAAGCTCCCTTTCTGCAAAACCTTATGGCCGTGTCTACACTGGCGTGATCTTGTGCCAAAGCAGCCGCTCTTGTGCAAAACCTTGCTGCCTGTCTACACTGGCCGTGTGTTCTTGCGCAAGTAAGCTGATGTTCTACTGTATAAAATCAGGGCTTCTTGCGCAAGAACTATGATGCTCCCACTCAGGAATAAGCCCTCTTGAGCAAGTATTCTTGCACAAGAGGCCAGTGTAGCAACATGAATTTCTTGTGCAAGAAAGCCCTATGGTTAAAATAGCCATCAGAGCTTTCTTGCGCTTTCTTGGCATGGATGCTCTTGCGCAAAAGCACATCTCTTGCGCAAAAGCACATACAAGTGTAGACGCTGTCTTCTGGAAGAGTTTTTGGACAAGAACTCTTCCGCAAAAGAGTTCTTGCGCAAGAAGCTGCCAGTGTAGACGTAACTTATATGTTTGTGTTATCCTTAATGATGTGAGAGTCTCACTGCTATAAAGACTACACAGGTGACTAAGGACTTGCAGTGGTAGATGCTTGGCATCCTAGGCTTTGTATAACCCTGGGGACATTTCCCCAAAATTTCCAACTGCTTTAAAATCAAACCAAATTTGAAACTTTGGGAAACTCCATAATGTAGTCAGAGCTCTAAAGATCCTAGCCAATGCTTACTCCAGCAATAGAAGCTCAGGGATGTATGAAAATTTACGATAAAGAGGCCTTTGAATAACTGTGTATATAAACTTGTCCACATTAGACCAAAAAATTTCTGTTAGCCCCTCGCTTTACTGTTCACTAATACACTCAAAATTAAAAAATAAAAGTAATTAGAAACACAAAGGCAGATAGGACTTACCAATGAGATACATGCCGATCCAGTCCCCTGCATCCACTTCTTCCTTTATATCCCAATAGATAACTAGGTCTTGTGAATGTCCAATGGAGTAATATGAGCTGCTGACCATGAGAGTAGACCGGCTGTCTGAAGTGACCAGGTCAGTATCACTGGTGGATCGTGGAATGGTTACTGTCTCATGAGCATTGTTCCTGAGGTCCATGTTATTAAACTGGTCAGGGTTATAGCTGTATCTGAGAGGTTCTTTACACCGGCGCCGGTTCTGTGAATTCCTAGATGGAGACGCCATGGCAGCCAGGCCTAGGAACCTGTTTTGGTACAGATTCTGTGGAGGGGTAGAAAGAAAAGAATATTATTTAGAATACACTTTGTTGAATTTTATGTGTCAGCTTAGAAGGGGGAAAGAGCACTGGAGTGAGAAAACAATGAATGAACACATACATGACTGTGAAATAAAAGATCCAGCATTTTTTTCTACAGTAGATACATAGTGTGTACCAAAATTATTATTGATTAATCATTACTATTAAGACAGCTGTATATGCAAGATATACATGAGGTTCCCCCATGCCAGCAGGCACTGCTGCTATACAGATTTTGTGAAGAAACAGATGGTGGCTTGTTTCTCTACATACCCACACATACGTTACAGGGCCCTGGGATGCAGCTAAGGCTACTAGAAATCCACTTTCTTCTAAAGTAATAGAAATTCCCTCCTCTTTCAGACACCATCAGCTTAATTCGTCGCTGAGGTAATTTCCAGAGAAATTTACATAGGGATACATTTGAGCTCATGCTCTCCATAAAGAACAACTTCTACCACTGTTAAGACACTGGCCAGCATTCAAAAAGAAATTTTCTTCCCAGATTGCGATCTGAAGTACTCCTACTACAAAAAGGAATGATCCCTTCTTCCATAATGAATATCTATTCATAGCAGAAGTAAACTGAGTTACTTCTCTCCAGTTAGCCTCGCTCGACTGAGAGCATCCATACTGTGAAATAACACTTGAGTTGCAGCACGCACCATGGTGCTGCACTCACTCATGGTGGTAATGCTTCATGGGGCACAGCCTATGGTTCCTAGCAGTGCTATAACCATAGCTAGTCTATGAATATTTTTCCTGGTATCTGTGGGATAATGTGTTTGTCTTTCCTGGGTGCACAGGAGAATTATGGGAAGGCCCTGGAAGACTACCAGCACTCCAGTGGCTCTAGCTTGTGCCCATACTGCAAAATAATTGTGTTAGCAACTGGCAAATTATTCTCTTGATTTTAGCCTATACCTCATCTCGAGCCAGCCAACCTGACTGAAAAGTACCACTGCACTGAAGCTAAGTGTTTTATGGGGAGGACTGCACTCAGGACAAGGGCAACACTTGCATTATAACTCAGATTAACTCTTCAGTGAAGACAAGACCACTGTGAGACACTGCTTAACTTTCAGACACCTTTTGATGTTCCTCTTCACCCCCTCTTCCCAGAAAGAAAGCAGCTCTTCCATTCGTCACCCAGGCCCTTAAATAGTCTTCTCCTTATTCACCCATCTCGAGACATACTGTCCAGCTCACCTGATACAAGACCAGAGATTTCTCTGCAATTTCTTCTGCCTTTTCACGTGATCAGAAAACAAATCCATTTGAATGAAATGATTTACGTTTAAGAGGAAAACATATTTTCTGTGCAGAAGGGCAATATTTTCATTTTGAACTTGATTCACAGCATTATACCACAGGTACAATATGGTTTAAATAAAATATCTTAAATTTTTACTAACAAGACAGACTACCTTCTTTGCATACTTGGAAAAACAGCAAGATAATTAATTATCATTAGGGCACGTAGGAGCCCTAGTAATGGACCAAGATTTCATTGTGCTTCGTGTTGTACAGATAGAGAACAAAAAGGCAATTCCTGCTTCAAAGAGTTTAGTTTTCTTGTTTATATAGCACCCAAAGTATGATAAGCCCTTTACATACCCTGCCTCCAAAAATGCAACATATAATGACCTGATCCTGCAAACACTTATTATAAAATATAGAGTTTAACAGCAGAAGCAAGCGCATTGGGGACTACTCACAGGAGTGGACACCACTCCTGATAGTAAGCGTTTGTAGGACTGTGCTTTAAATTTACAACACAGAAGGCAAAGTACAGGATTACAAAAGCAGGAACAGAGGGAGGAAGAAAGTAACTGTAGACAAGTGGGAAGGAGGTGGGATGAGGAATACAGAGAACAGTTAAAGCATTCTCAGATGGCCCCACATGCTACACATCATGTTAAGTTTCTTGGATTTTCTTTAAACCATTGTGTTTATTTATTTATGTTAATAGAAACGAGTGTTCACTTGTTAGTGTAAAAACAGCCCTTGCTGTGAGAATAATAGCATCATTCAAAACAAGGCCAAAAAGGACTTAATCTAATTTTATTGTAACTGTGTAATAAGCAAATGCATCATTTCTCTGTTAAAAAAAAACAAAATAAAACTATAGGTCTCCCATGCAGTAACAATATTTTTAACCTATTGAGTAGTTCCTGGAAGGCCGATAATATTTACTAGGATTCAGTCAATAAAACTAAACCCGATAAAGGTTTCTGTCACATAGTGTAGGATCCATATGCTATAACTAAGGCACAATCAGACAATCTCCAGTTTTATTGCACTATTTGTGCTGTGATGGCGAGATACCAACACCAAGATTGTCAAGCTCATTACAAGGCATAGCCAAAAGAATTATGTTTCCCCAAATATGATGATGATTTGGAATTTGTATTTGTTCCTCATCAGGACAAAACAGAGACTTTTCTAAAATGTCCAGGAGTTAGAGCAACTCTGCTAGGATATTTATTATTTATCCAGAGGGAACAGATACAACAAGAGTTATTTAGAAAGTACTCCAGAACATCTAGCCAGGCAGTCAGGGCATTCTCCTATGATGCTGGAAACCCAAGTTGAATTAGGAATAGCAGAGACTTTAGACTCGATCTTCCACATTCCAGCTAAGGACCCTCACTACCAGACTATTAGGTGTTCACCAGTGTTCTAATCACTAGACAGTTCTGAGGGCTCTTTCACCAGAAATTCCATCCTGGATCTGAAGGAAGTTTAGCCGAAACTGATATTTCCATGAAAAGTTTCATTTCTGGTAATTGGGAATTTTCCAACAACAAACACATTGGATAAAAATTCCCCAATCAGCTCTACTCATTCCTTCAGATAAATATGCATCATTAGCATAAGTTAGCTAACTCATAATACATTAATCAACAGCTATGTGATTTCAAAGGCTATTTTACTGACAAATTCCTCTAAGGAATAGTGGCTCTGCAGATACTTATTATATCTGAATTTTAATGGCTATATGGTTTGCATTCTTACTCATGGTGTTCTTTCAAATGTAATACTAATAATGCTTAATAAATGGGTAAAAAATGTCATCCTCAGTGTGATTTTAACTATCAGTTCTAGGGACAATTATAAATTCACCTGTTTAAAAGAAAACAAGCAGTTCAAGTAACTGTGCAACTATTTTCATCGGGATCTATGTTACTAGAACTGCAGCTTACACCTCCCTAAACCAGGACTCTCTCATCCAGAAACATCCATAGTCCATCAGAACTGTGGATGATGCTGAACAAGAGAGCCGCAAGGCAGGATGGCCAGCAGCTGAGAGTCCCGCAAAAGGTGAGGCAGGTGGTAGAGGGGGTAGGTGCTCAGCAGACCAGTGGCAGTAGCAGGGCCATGGTAGCAGGGCAGCCTGTGCAAGCCGGCCCAACAGCAGGATTGTGCTGTGGCAGCCCACCAGTGGGGACAGAGATGCAGCAGCCTGGCTGGTAGTAAGGCCGGGCCACAGCAACCCCGCAGGAGAAGCCCATCTGGGGCCACGGCAAGTTGACAACTCAATCAGGGCTGTGGCAGGTTGACAGTGGGACTGGTGCCACAGCAGTGGGGCCAGTGCTGTGTGCTAGCATTCTAGCAGTGGGGCTAGAGCTATGGCAGCGGGGCTGAGGCAACAGGACCGAAGGAGCCGGCAGCGGGGAGGGGCAGCAGGCGGAGGGGGCGAGAGGCAGGGGACCTTCCCTGTCCAGCAAATTCCCTTATCCGGGACTGCTCAGCTCCTGAGGGTGCTGGATCAGTGAGGTTCAACCTGTAGCTGTTGTTACAGATGAAAAATAGTTCTGAGATTTAATAAAGAATCACTTTTCAGCATGATGTAGGTAACTGTTAAGGTTTCATTTACCTTGGTGTCATACGGGGTCAAGTGGAACTCCTGCAACTGAAGACACTTATAAGAAGACTGAAAACATCTCAGAAAGATATAACAATTTGCAGAAGACATCAAATGAGATGGAATCTCTTAACATAATGCAGAATTTGGTCCATATGTACATATGTCAGAATTATTATATATGTGCAACAAAGCAAATTAGTGTTACTGGGACCTTTATTTTTCCATTTGCAAGACCTTTGTGCATTTAAAAATAGTTTCATTGTACATTAATGTATCCTACTGCATTTAGCTTCGCTGATGGGAATCACTGTACAAGTTAGAAACAAAATGAAAGGGTTGGCCTTGTGGTCATTTGGCAGGGTTCTGTGCTGATGAGTGGAATTGATTCTTGACACAGGCATATTATTCCTCAGGCAGCGAAGACTAGGAATGCTACTGGGGTGTGTGTGCTCTCAGTAGCTGCAAAGAAAATCAATGGCTCATGCCACTCATCAGCCACCTCTCCTGCCAACCATGAGCAAGGACTCTCAACCAACCCGCCCGGGCCACAATAACTGGAAAGTGGACCAAATGGTTAGGAGACAAATCCTTGCCATTCAGCAAGGCAGTGAGAAACTCCTGACCAAACAAAAAACATATAATCCAGATATTTTTCTTTATAGCACATGCTGAAATGTACATATATTACACTTCCAAATAAAAGAATTTAAAAATTTAATTTTGTTCTTCTGAAACTACTGATGGTACAACATTTCAAATGGCTCTATGTAAAGATGACATTTTGTAGTTTCTTAGATCACTGCATGGTCTTACATTGTAGACTATTTAATCACCAGAGTCTAATAATCTTACATTCGGTACCTTTGCACTCATACACACAGCTATGCAATCATAAGTGCTCCAAATGAAACACTTAGGAAAGCATCTGCAGCAGAGCACAGCTAATATGAAAGATTAATTTGCTAATATTCCTCAGATTAGTAGGACAAGACCTATATCCTTTCACCAATTAGGCAACATAATAAATGAATGTAATTAGCTGCTATCACACAAGGACGGGAAAACAATGCAAATACTTTCATTAAAAGATGT